AATAGTCACGGACGAGTATCGTATCGTACAGTCTTGATATGTAGTACGTATCTGAGGATCTGATTGGGATATTCCGGTTTAGTTTTAGTCCTTATAATCCTTAATCCTGCACTTTCGTGCAGTGGTTTTGGTTACTGTCTCCTGACTACCCATCTAGATACAGGACTAAACGGAAGACCGGAATGTTAAAATTAGCGTCAAGTCAAAAACTGAGAATTCATGAAGCTTAAGGTTGCAAGAACATTAGATAAATGCACGAGCTCTACTGTTTACGATTGTTAGTCATATCACTCATTGGCTAAGCTGATCCGGAAATTGCCATCCAGAAAGCTTAACTTGACCGTGGTGAGCAAGTCTCCTAGTCGGGGTTTTTATACTCTCAAACCGAGTCCAAGTGTGACATTCCTTTAACTTTTTTCTCTCATCAACTGTCTTGGCAAATAGCGTGTACCATACGCTCCAACCAACGCAGTCTATGGGGATCAACCACTTGCTCCAATGGGCGACCGCGGTTAACTTAGAATTTGCACCCAGCCTCAGCATTGCCTGTTCGGTTTTCCCACCAAACTCATGCAATGTGGCGTGGATATTCGAAAACTGATAATCTAGCTTTATCCTGTTCCCTTTATGGTCAAATTTCGGGGCCGTCCAGCAGAACTGGCCGAACTGCAGTAGCATATACTGGACCTTCCGCAGAGCCCATCATCATCAGCTTTAGCTTCAATACTGGAAACACTTGGTGTGATAGATCGTGTATAGACAAGGGGAAACAGTGTGCTGTGCTGCCTTGTGATAAATTTATTATTTCGCGTAAATTTCACCTTCTGGACGTCTTGGGTTCACTTGATGAGTGGGTCAGGTGCATTGAAACTGCCAAATCGTGGAAGTGTTATAAATCCACAAGGCAGTAGTACTTGGTCAAGGAAAGTTGTTTATTATGAATAACGGTCAGAATTCCCACGCGCACACATGATAGTTATTGGAACGGCCCACTATTAGATGCGCATTCTTGTAGTTACCATACTGAACAGCAGCAATTCACTTCAACAAGTCTTGTTCATTTTCGACCGCTACAAGAAACAGCCAATCGCATCTTTTTGCGAACTACCCACCAGTGTAAGTGGCATCTCACAACAGTAGTAGTTCCAACTGTGGGTGCTTTTGGCATTACTTATCACGCGACTACACTTGACTAAATGCTGACGACCAGCGCATGTTTTTTTTCATTTCCTACACATTCGCATACTCCTCAGTCTCCGTTCAATAGTGATTTTTTGATGTATTTCTCTTTTTTCCTGTTTCAGAAAACGCCGAACTTCCTGTCCTGATTTCGGACCTTTCTGGTCGCTTTTACGAGACACTGTTCCATTGTAAAGTCCTTCAGCAATACTCCCCTGATTTTCTAGACCTTCCGGGTAAGTAATGACTTAGTGGATTCCCATTTCCGATACACAACATTCTACCTATTTGTGAATTTTTACTTGTGAATGCCGTCTAACCCACACGTACGTCAATGCCGTCGCACATTGTATCGCGTGTTTCTTTGTAAAATTCGCTCAGTTAGAGTGCTGTTGTACTCATAGTGCCACTCTCTTTGC